ACTGCAGTTATAATAATAGTTACAATAGTGATCCGCAGTTCAGCGTGCGTCTCAAAACGGATTAATAATTTTAAATACGAAGCGTGAAAATTTAACGCATTAAGTTTAATAGGAAAAAAATGTAAAAATTGAATAACGCCACCGCCGAGTGTCGTCGCCGTCGTCGCCGGTGACGTTTCCTATTTTTTAATTCCAACACGTTTAACGGAACGCGCGCGTCGGTATTATAAACTCTACATTTTTTTTTTATTCCACTCTATTGTACATAAATACATATATATTGAAATATATTTCCTCGTTCACTACCACCACTACGGATTAATAACACTACTACTATCTCGCGTCGCTATGGCCGTGTAGTATTAAAAAATATATTATGAATAAGAAAGAATAATACCTACCTATACTATATATATATATATATATATATACACGTATATACGTGTATAATAATAAAAGAACGTGGAAGAAAAAAAAAAAAAAATGGAATAACAAAAAAATTAATGAAAATAAAAACCGCCGCCTCGCGATAGGAGCCGAAAACGAAGGAAAATCAATAATAAACGAGAATCACTGCTCTGTTGCTGCTGCTGCTGCCGCTGCCGCTGCAGTGGGAAACGAGAGTTTAATTAATGTGAATTCATCCTTGGAGGAGCGGCCCGGCGACGGCGGCGCTGGCCGCCGATTTTTACAGACACCGACATCATCACAGTTCACTAAACTCGGCCCATTCATGCGTGCCCGCGTACCTAAATACTGAAAACGCACATAACCTCGTTTTTCGATACACGCGCGCGTACGCGCGCGCGCGCACAGGGTCGCCCGCCGCGCCGTTGCCGCCGCAGACGCTTCGCGGGGGCGCGCTCGGCCCGGTGCCGCGCGGTCTCGGCGCCTCGGCAGGCGCGTTACAGGTAACAGGGCGTTCGTCGCCGCGTCCGACACCGCGAGGTGCAGTCGCACGCGTCCGGCCGCGTATAGGTACGCGGCGACATCGCAACACGCGTAACCTTTCCGTCGTCGTAGCGCGGTGGCGCGGTGACCTTCGCGCGAAGCGACGCGACTGCGAACGAATCGACCGAGACCGATCGCATATAATACGGATCGTCGTCGAAAAAAAATTTATTAAAGAATCGATTTTTATTCGCGTGTTTGTGTGTGTTGCGCGCCGGCGGAGTTCGTATTTCGTGTTCGGCGGCGTACTTACGGGGGGGGG